AATACGCAGATCTACAGCGCAGGATAATATTGAGAGAGAGAAACTACTGCGCATTCTCTGCGCAGAAGAATAGTTTTTGTATAAATATTGCGCATATGGGTTTTATAAACGAAGCGATGAGTCAAAAGTTGTTTAAATAAAGAAAGAAAGAGTAAAAGTAAATTGGGAGTAAAATTTTCAAAATTAAAAATCAACTTTAAAAGTGAGTTAGCATTAAATTAACTTCCTATATATATATATATATATATATATATAGGCATATAAAATCAACTCCCTTAGCAAACAACTCTTTTTGTTGCAACTTCAAAAGGGTGCGAGACTTTTATATATTAAGAGTCGGGAGTTAAAATCTAACTCCTTTTTAAATTATTGATTTTTACCAATAAATATCGATCAAGAAGAAATTCTGAAGTTATAATAATAATAATAAAAACAACAATAGCAGCAGAAGCAACAACAACAGCAGCAGTAACAACAACATTAACAATAATAATAATAATAATAATAATAATAATAATAATAATAATAATAATAATATACGATATCAACGGTGGCGATGTTTGAAGAACGGAAGAACGGTCGTCCTGTCACAAAGGCATGCGCCACCCACCTCGCTCTGGACGCTTACATCGTTAATCAACTGAAGCGGGACCCTAACTTTCAAGGTACCGATCCACAGGTACAACATCACCTATACTCCTCTTCGTCTTGATCGGACGTTTCTCGTTCAACTGTGCGCCCGAGAGTTTCGTCGAGAAACGATGAAGCTGCTGCATGAATCTTGGGAAACGTCTGGTGAATTCCTTCTAATACATATAACACCCTGTCAGTAATCCTAATGCCATTTGTAATGGACGCTTTCTTAAAACAGCCACAAAGAAATGTTTCTTACTATATACATATATGATCACTATATATACTTTATATTCACACCAGATCAAAATCATTATTTGATTTATGATCCTCTCCACTTGTATATAGGAAATAATATATATATATATATATAATACTTCCGCAAATAAAGAAAATTTTAATATACTTTATGAAATTTAAAAAAAAAAAATCTTTTACCTTGAACAGCGATAAAGTTTCATGGAAACAGCGATATATTTTTCACTAAAACAGAGAAAGTTTTCGCTATTCTAAAGAAACATATATATATATATATATATATATACATTGAGAAAAAAATGCTATTGAATCAACAGCATTTTTGCCAAAGGTATAAAAATTATTGATTTAAAAGCATATATGCTATAAAATTTGTAAAATATTTTATAGATTCTATATATATAGCATATATATGCTTTTGAATCTATATATATAATTTTTATACCTTTGGCTTGATTCAATAGCATATTTTTCTCAGTGTATCATAAAGATTGTTTCGATAAAGTGGATTAAAATTTTGTTAAAAATTAAAAAATTATTCTTCACTGAATTAATCAGTATATACACACAAAATCTTAAGATTATTAATTTTAGTCGAAATAATTTTGCGGTTTAATATATTCCATCCAAGAAAGCGATCTTTAACACCTTGATCTATTAATTTAACTATGGGTGAATATATATGAGATGTCGAACCATCTCATCATCATCAATTGTCGACATACATATATATATATATATATGTTGGTTATAATTTCATTGTTTTCTAATTCGCAGCAAAGTTGAGAGGGTTCAAAACTCGTTAAGATATGTTCGGCAAAAGTTACGGTCGAAGGCGCGCGAGATCGCGTGATATGATTATAAAGTTCATTAAAAACCAATTTACCTCTTTGTATATATATATATATAGTTTGCAGAATTTTTTTAAATTGTCTTTTTTTTAAGAAAGTAACTTTTACTACTTTCAGAGTAAAACTGGACCAACTCGAAGTTTCTGCGCATCTCTGGCAATTTTTACTTCAAAAATAGTAAAATTTACTCTAGAAATAGTAAAACTTACTACGGAAACAGTAAAATTTACTACAGAAATAATAAATTTTACTATTTTTGGAGTAAAAATTTTGCCAGAGATGCGCAGAAACTTCGAGTTGGTCCAGTTTTACTCTGAAAGTAGTAAAAATTACTTTTTTCTTTTTCTCCGTGTATATACCTATTCTATAGTTTAACTGTACAAGAACTAGCTAAATACATTTTGAACTAGTTATACTATTTATTCCTATAGTTATTCTATCTAGTTTCAAGACAGTAATTCTATTTAACTCAGAATGCTGACAATAATAAACATTTGTATTAATTCTCTATATAGAGGAACAAAAATCTCTATTCCAGATGATAATTTTTTTCGTGTATAAATTAAAATTTTATAATAAGATGTTTTTCCTAACTCAATAATTTAAAAATAAGAAGCATTTGTATTGTTTCTCTATATAGAGGAACATATCGCTGTTCTAGATAAAAAAATTTTTTTCGTGATTAGATAAAAATTTTATAATAAATTGTTTTTCCTAACTCTATACATGCTGCAAATAATATTTAAAGCATTTTTTATTGTATCTCTATGGAGAAACATAATGCAGAAAATGTATTTTTTTTTCTTGTGTAAATTAAAATTTTATAATAAGGTATTTTTCCTAACTCTACATGCTAAAAATAATAAGCGCATTTCTATTGTTTCTCTATGTATAGAGGAACAAATCGCTCATCAAGCTAAAAACTTTTTTTTCGTGTGTATATAAAAATTTTATAATAATGTGTTTTTCCTACACTGAAAGAAGTTTAACGCAACTATTTGAACGTGTGTTTAGTACGAAATCTGTGTTTAACTTCTCTCAGTGTAACTCAATACATTCTGATAATAATAAGCATTTGTATTGTTTCTCTATATAGAGGAACATATAGCTGTTCCAGATAAAATTTTTTTTCGTGTGGAGATTAAAATTTTATAATAAGATGTTTTTCCTAAGACTTGTATTGTTTCTCTATAGAGGAGCATATCGCTATAAAAAATTTTTTTTTGTATGTGTTTATAGAAACTATAATCCAGATCGTGTTGAAGTTTCTGTGAGTTTGTCAAGAATTATTTCTTTTTTTTTTATAGAAGGAAATAAAAATGGATACGGGAATTTTGTTTATGGTGCTCGTATAATGGCCGCTGATTATCAAGCTACTACGTCATGATTTTAGAGACGCGCGGTGTTTAAATTCAATTTGAGTGCAACTCCTTGTCATTAGTCATCATATATGTTTGGATCACGGGCTATTATTGTGTACATATATACTACAAGGATCCAAAGAGCTGCCGACGGAGAAGCGATGAGGACCAATTGATTCTCATTACAAGAGGCGATTGGGAGTATACACTTTAAAAATATATATGCTTTCATATATATATATATATATATATATATATCGGACGCAAATGGTAGCCGCCTAATAAGTGCCATTATTCTGTCGTTCGAGTTTTACCTTCACTTGTTATAACAGCTGTTATAATGCCATACACACACACATATATATATATATTATAATATGCGTGTGAATTTAGTCATTTATACATATTATAAATTTTTTTAAATGTATTTATACACAAATACAAGTACATCATATATTGCCACACATCGTTATCCTTGAATATATATATACATACTATATATCGCTCGAAACCATGACATGGCGATTTTTCCTCAACTCTTTTGCTTTTGCCTCTCTCATCGAGTTCCGGACTGCATATAAGACGCGACGTCGTTGATGCGATCGTTTTCTCAATTATAATTGAATTTCGAACGGGAGAAAGTTGGGTCAAGTGATTATATTGCAAGACCGTTGTAAAGATCATGTGATAAATCATTTTAGAATGAGGCGACTTTTGTAAAAATTCTTTTTGTTTCATATATTAAAGTAAAAAAAGAATATTTTTGAGAAAAATCGATTTTGAATAAAAAAAAACATTTCATGTTGGATTATCGTGTACCAATCACGATCATCTCTAATAAAGAACAGGTTTCCCATCAATTGATTATCAATCCTTTGCGATGTCTAATTTGTTCAACATTAGCTAAATATTTATCATCATCATCATCATTATTTCTTTGAACGATCGTTTATAATATTCCTTTAGTAATTCTCTTCTACAAAATTTATGAAAAAAAAATTCATTTTACAGCAAAAATTTTCTCAAGGTATTAATTAATTTCTCATTAACAATGATAAATTTCCAAGAATTGGAGAACCTTGTCATTGGAAAATTGAATTGCAAAAATCATCAATATTTTAGCTAATTCTTAAAAAATTGACATCATAATAATGATTCGGGGAAAATTCAAATAGAAATAGAATTATAATTTTTCCATTTTTTATTTCAGGAAAAGAATATTATTTGAGATTTTCGAAACAATATTTCTGGATATTTTATTTAGTTTCAAGGCAGTTATTCTATCTAGTTTCGAGATACTTAAACTACTATTTACATCATTTGCAAATATCAGGAAAGTTTAATTTTACTATATATTAAATAAAGAAAGTCTCATTAGCTATTATCCAGTAGCAAAATGTCATTAAAATATATTTCTCAGATTTTTTCAATCCAGATTGTGACAATAATCATAAATAGAAAAAAAAATATATATAGCACACGATGAGAATAAAAACTTTTATAATATGGGAAAGAAAAATTAGAATTTCTATATAAAACATATGAACTGATTGCAATGATCGTTAAAATCTACTTTGATGTCTCGAATATATGTGATGGAAATATAGTACTGAATGCAAAACTTTTGCAACTGGCAATATACGAGAAGAGAAAGAGATACACACTATACAGCATCTAATGCGTTTCTCTCTTGCCATATGTGTTCGTTTCGCTCGTGTCGTAGAACGATCATCGTCTTCTGGTAACACGTTCCTTGAAAGACCATATAGTCGATTTATTATCTGCGACATGGAATCCACTGGATTCTATTATTCGCGAAACATCATGCTGCGCATTCAATGAAGGAAAAGAAAAAAAAAATTTTTTTCTACTTCCACAATTCTTCTTTTACAACTTAGTCAAGTCGAGTGCCGTATGTTATTGCTGCATAGAACTCCGCATGATACTCGGTATCAAAATTGTTTATAGGAAATCTGTTATATGTTAAAACTGTGATTAAATTAATAAGCAAAAATTTTCATTCCCTGAAAGAAATTTTTTTTAGTTCTTTGTTACTAAAATTTACGTATATTGGGGATATAAAAATTTAATTTTTGCAATTTCTGTATAAAAACGATTTTTTGTTTCAGATGAGTGAGTGACTCCAAAATCCATTATGGTGGTCCTCCTTGAGGTTTACATCTTCAAGGTTAGTAATGACATGGCACTTTAATGATTTGTAGATCATTCATAACAATATATTCAGTATTTATGGTTATACAAATAATGCAACTCTATTACTGTGTTCACTTTGCTATTTTATTTGAGGACAATAACTTTAAAAATATTCTTACTTCGTATTTATAGGAAAACTGTAACGGATATTTATTATATTGTTTCATTTACTATCAGAATTTATTCAACCAATAATAAACGGATATATAGATCAACATTATATCTGTACTTATTTTGCACGCGCTCTACCGGCGGTTTTTGCTACTACAAAACACTTTATATTTGCACAATTCCCTACTAAAATAGAGGAGAATTGTGCAAATAAAGTGTTTTGTGGTACTAAAACCCACCGACAGAGCGCGTACCAAATAATATATAGAATAGACAATTTATTGAAACTGGTGGCGAACTTAGCGCTCCTATAGTGTTCTCTGTCGGTAATACAAAACATCGTGCAGCGTCAAATGGAATTTTCGCTGTAAATACTGACATAATTTTGGTTGATTCGAGTACATTACAGTATAATTAACATTATGGCAATTATATCTAGCTTAACATGTACTTATTTGGTACGCGCTCTAGCGTCAGTTTTCAGTACTACAAAACACTTTATTTACAGGATTCCTTACAAAAATCGAGGGGCTGTTCACTGAAAATCCAATTGAACAATATTTGAGAATTCATTAAAGATTTTTAAGGATTGCTAGTCATTTTCGTAATTCCTATTTTGAAATTAAGGGAAATAGTGCTTTCATTTTATTTAAAGTAATTAAGTATTACTTGCAAGAAAAATAAATTAATTGTATAATTCGGTAGTATTTGAGCCATTGACTATACCTCGCGCTTAATTGCAAGGACTCGTATACGTATTCGGCTTCTGATTCGAACGGAATCGGAAGGACTCGTTGATATTCACAGTGTATTCACAAATTCCTTCTTTGCGCTGCTTCGTGTCGCGCAGACTAAATAAAGTATATATATACAAGGAAGTGAAGATTATGATAAAAAAAATTAGTCAATAATAATAATTAGTGTAAATAATTTTATATTATTTATACAACAATTCTTACTGCATGACTGGAATCGACGCGAGATTCGTTCGGATTCGCATAGTATTCGACAAATTCGAACGTCCTTTTCAATAATCGTCGGTAATCTCCACTTAAAATACAATATATTCAGAGTCAAGAAATTTACATTTTCTTATGTTAATTGATGAATATTCGGAAGATATCTAGTATATTCTCTATACATTACAAATCGGGTATTCGAGATTGAACAGCCCCTCGACAAAAATAGTGGAGAATTGTGGAAATAAAGTGTTTTGTGGTACTAAAACCCACCGACAGAGCGCGTACCAAATAATATATAGAATAAACAATTTATTGAAGCTAGTGGCGAACTTAGCGCTCCTAGTGTTCTCTGTCGGTAATACAAAACGTCGTGCAGCGTCAAATGGCATTTTCGCTGTAAATACTGACATAATTTTGGTTGATTCGAGCGTATTACAGTATAAATAACATTATGGCAATTATAATATATATAACATGTACTTATTTGGTACGCGCTCTAGCGTCAGTTTTCAGTACTACAAAACACTTTATTTACAGAATAGAATTCCTTACAAAAATAGTGGAGAATTGTGGAAATAAAGTGGTAGCAAAACCCGCCGGTAGAATATAGTCTCTCTGCTACAAAATCCCTGATATTTTTCATGGATAAAGAAATTCACATAATTTTGCAAAAAGAGCTCGTCTAATAATAATTTTTCTGGTTTTTCCCATTAAAAAAAAAAAAAAAAAAAATTGAAAAACAATCGTTAAAACTTGACACGTGTATAAAGAGGGACAAAAGTAATTTTTTATCCACCTGGGTGAAAATATATATATATTTTCTATATTTAGAGAAACCGCAGCAGGGGATCGTTGCGGAAATGTGCAAGATATAGAAGAGATAGGTTAGATAGTTGAGAGGGTGACCTGTCGCGCGCGCGGAGAAGTAGAAGCGAGGTCGATTCAAGCACACACATACTCATATAGTTACACATACATACGTATATATATATATATATACATATAGAGGACCAAAAGAAAGAAAGGAAGAAAGAAGGAAAGAAATGAAAGGCTGTCAAGAGTGGAGAGGAGCTCGGGGTATTAGCTGGCTGAAGGGTGGATGCGAAGAAAGAGAGTTCCCTCCTTTCTTATATATTTTTTCCTTGTATTCGACGGCGTTCCTTGGGAAAAGTTTGTTGTTTGAAGCAGCGCTCCTGCCCGCGCAATCATTAATCATGCCGAGTTTTGGTTTGACTAGCAGCCGCGTTGCGCTTCCAGCAGCTCGGTATGGCGTATATAGTCTCTCTTTCTCTCTCAGCTTCCCTTATATACGCTTTTAGGTTAGGTTTCTTCGCCACTGAGAACTCCCTTCCATCCCTCTGCTCTCTGCAATTTTCTCGGGGGTTTCTAGTCTCTCTCTCTCTCTCTCTCTCTCTTTCAGCTTTCTCCCCTTTCATCCCTATTGCCGACCCCTATACACTTACCAAGCCCACCCTCTTCAAAAACCAGGGGAAGGGAACGGCTATTCGGGGATGGCTATCAGAAAAGGGGAGCCCGTTTGAAAAAAAGGAAACTTTCATCCCCGTGTACATCTTTTGCGGAAGCCATTTCTTTTTTTTAGTGAATTCTATCATAAAAATAGTTTTCTAAACCGTTCAATAAAATATTTAATTAAATACTATTCTGTATAAATATATAATAATTAAAAAACATTAGAATCTTTAAAAAAGAGATTACCAATTAGAAATGAAGTATGAATATATATCTATTTCTTAAAGTGATTAATAGTTTAAGGAAGTTGATGCGGTTTTTGTCCAGTCATCAAAATAGAGCTGGATTATCAAGCTGTCTAAATTTTCGTTTAGCTTTTATTGTATATTTTAGGGTAGTTTTAGTTATTGTACAACAAAATACTAACAATGATATTTTTATTACTATTTTTACTATTACTATTTACTATTTTTACCAAATTACTGTTTGCATAATACCTACTAAGATATATAATTGATACCTTAGGCAAAAAAGTATACTTAATTTTTGCTGCAAACCTTTCAACGTCTAAAATTAAACAAAATTGTTCCGTTAAGATATATGTACAGAGTTTATGGAAATCTAATTTTTCTGCAAAAAAAAATATCTCTTATTATACCTTTCACCGTTGTGCAATTATTAGCGGAAGAACGGAATAATATATATATTTTATAGCATATACCTAAAGCTAATAATTAGAAAAATCTTTATATATTTGACATAAGCCTTAATCATGCATGATTATATTTCTGCAAGTCATAAATACATTTTCATTCATAAAACCACTTGCGCGCTTTTTTTTTTTCTAAATGGAGACAATATAAAATTTTATCATCAATTTTCAAAACATAAAATATTAAGATAGTCATAAAGAAAATGCTAAAATAGTACCTATATAGGTATATGAAAATAGAAGCAGACAATTTAGTAAACTAAAATCGGTATTAAATTATTATACCTTTCGTTTTAGTGCGTATATATTTATTATGTTCTGATAAATAGTGTTTCTGATGCGTTATGGATTTTGAAAAATAGTAGTTTGCTTTTAATAAAAAATTAATGATGTATACATTATCAGAGGCATAACAGTATTAGAAAAAAAGTAAAATGGTATTTTGTTGTAAGATTTATTATTATTTTCTCTTTAAAATTAAACTTCTTTGTGCGTGTTACAAAAAATTTTCAAGAATTTATTGTGACAATATTGGAAGCATTTTTGACAGCATCGAAAAATATTATTTTGATTAGTTTTACAGTTATTTTTAAAATTTTCTATGATACTGTTTTATATATAGTAATGGTTACGACACAACATTATTTGTGACATCTGACATTGACGTATACTAATACTATTAATAATACTAATATACTTATAAGGCGAATTCTTATTTCGCACGCGCTCTGGCGTCAGTTTTTGGTACCACAAAGCACTTTAATTTGCATGATCCACCAAAATAGTGGGAGAATTGTGCAAATACGCAGTGCTTCGTGGTACCAAAAACCGACGGCAGAGCGCGTACCAAATATATAGAAATATTTTTCTTTCTGTAAATAAACAAAAATTTGTATTCCAAAATACACCCAAATATTTTGCAATATTCGTTAATGTTAGTGTTTATTTAAATATTTTTCTAAGGTACGATTTTTCAGAAATATATTTTTAATCCTCTGCTTGCATTCGCATATTTGTCATTGATGATGAGACTCGCATTTTTTTTTCCAACGACGAGATATAAGTATAATAATGAAAGAGGTTAAGAAAGCTCACCTCGTGCGACAACAATGCCAACATATAACACACTTGGTATATAACACTCGCGTCAATGAATATCGAGATTACACGGCCAAATGAGAATATCTAGCGGCATATAATCAAAGAGGCAGCAGGTGGTCACACAAGTGGTCGTGTTCGCCTCAGGGCAAAAGATGCAGTCTTATTTCTTCAATCTCTTGTATAACCTTTAACCATATATATATATATATACATCCCAATCCGTTGTAATTCTGATGGTTGCGTTCCTACGGTTATTAATTGCCTTTTCATCTAATTTTCTCTATGCCTCTGGAATGCTTCTTGATTCTTCTTCTCCTTCTTTTTTTTTCCAAAAGATCGCCGCCATCTTGTTATATCCATATTCTTTTTCTACTATTTTTTTCTTCGCGCCGATTTTTAGATATATATACTCTCGACCATTTTGTCGGACTGACAGTATAGACCTTTCGTGGATTATTAATTGCTGTATCCATCTCTAGACTCCATAAGATCGCTGCTGCGCGCGGAAAGCTGCTGTGTTTCTCGCCATAGTTGTAAAACCCGCCTACATATATGGTGTAATGGCCACTCTCTTTCATTTTTATTTCTATTGTATTCTTAAGTTTCGCAAATTCAAAT